TCGGTTCTCCATGTTCAACAACCTGGCTTCTCCTCCCAACTCGGTTGTGAGCCTCATGAAGAACAGCGAACGGCTGACGTCAGTGTGGGACACCAGTGGGTCTGACATCAACGACATGGGCAGCAACGCCGTGGTCATCCCTCTGAAAGTGGGAGACAACGTGTTTGTGCAGCTGGAGCCAAACAGGCTCGTCTACAACGACTCGATGAACTACAACACATTCAGCGGCTTCCTGCTCTTTACAATGTGATGCATACAACAGCTCTGCATGCCAGCATGATTCTTCATTATTTCACAGTAAAGGAAGTTTCTTTTTTTTTCATTTGCAATTTAGCATAATTTGCATAGAAAATGCACAAATAAATAAATAAATTAGAAATACTGCATTTTGTGTGTGTGTAAAATTGTGTTTCATCTACATAGGTGAATATCTTGAATAGCATTGAAATGTATCCTGAGTAGTAAATAACGGGATTACTTTCCAGATAGCTTTAACATTTTATAAGAATTTTAAATTCATAAAATGTATCCTCTATTTTCAAACAGTGGGTCAAGCATCACTAGTTTTCCTCGGGCTACCTTTTATGATTTTAAGATTTAGATCACAATCATTTTTAAGATGAATACAAATTATTATGTAGAATCAAAAGGCATCAACAGAGAAGTGCACTAGAGAAGTATACTTGGAAACCTCTAGGACAACTGAAGCAGATATTTGCAGGAGAGAAAGGAAGTGATATTGAAACTATTTGTGTTGCAAAGGAAAAATAACCATAAGACATTTCACCAATCTTTATTTGCTACAAAAATATTTCTGAAATGTACATCTCTGTGAATCTGCCCCTTGTTTGATGACACAGTTTCTCACAGGTTCTTACACTACACCTGACTTAGATGCATTTTTAAAAAAAATAAAATGAAGGGTGATTATACTCATTTAAGTAAAATATTTTAGACTAAAGACATTTTAATAATGTTCCACCAAAACTGAAAAAAATATGATGACATCCTCACAATTTCACCCCAGCAGTTTCATTTTTGGCCATTTCTTCTCTTATAGCTAATATGTCAACTTATCAGCAGGTGCGGCTATAATCCATAGTTCACATTATTATCTGAAACCACGTGTTTAAATCAGTGTATAAATATTTACAAGACATATAAGGAAGTATCAACTCAAACAGAATGTTTCGTAACTACATGCAGGAACCTTTCCTGAAGTATCTGCAGTGATGTGTGATAAACGCTTTCAGTTGCACCAAGGTCTTTTCAGAACACTCCTCATTTGGCTTCTTCACTGTATATATTCACCATATATCCTCATGTTTGTACATTTGCATACATAGATATACTGACTCTATTATAAAACTGTTAGTTTAGCGGTGCAGAATATCTCCCCGTGGTCATTGGTTGCCCTGCAGGTGTAAACATTTGCATCCTCTGCTTTAACTTTGGAAAGAATCAGGGTGCAGTGTCCATCATCATCGTACTCTATTTGGACAGTGGATGATTCTTCTACAGGTTCATCTCCACACAGCCACACCACCTCTGGATCAGGATATCCTGCAGTAAAAAAACAAGAGGAGTGAGACATCTGGTGTTGGTGCTGTTTTTACACCTCCAAACGCAAGTCAACATTTAGCCTTTCATGTCTGAATATGCCAACAAGTGTGACTTGTCATCAAATCTTTTAGTATCATACAGAGACTGTTTCAGTATGAAAGATTTGAGTAGAAATTACGTAAATTAACGAACAGAATAAAAAAAAAGGGTTTTGTTTCTATCTTTTATCACAGCATAAAATAAATAAATGCACAATTAAAAGTTTCAGGTCACTGTTACAGATCTCATCTTCTAATATTGGTATCAATGAATAGTAAATAATTGATATTCTTTGCTCTAAAGTGCAAAGAATATCCAAAAAGACTTCACAGTTATTCACAATTAGAATTACGCCAACAATAAACAACAGACTGTATTTTAGAGTTATTTACTTCTTTAACAGTTACATTTTTCTTCCAACCATCTTTTCCTAAATGCAACACTTCTGTGTCGACTCCAGTTACTGCTCACTATGAGTTTTCACAAAGAAGGAAATTCATAATTAGGCTCTTTTTAGGCTTTAAGCTAAGTAGAAGGTAGAAGGTTCAGCTTTGAAACTGGTTGTTGAGACATTGATCCTGTTTTCCTTGTTGGTTTGTTAAAAAGGCGTACCTTGAGTCACGAGGCCAAAACACCCAGCATGCTGGCCGGGTTGATAATTAAGTGGTGACAAAGAGTGAAAAGACCGTGTTAGCGTATGTGCATACCACTTAGGTGGCACGAGAGCCGGGCGCAGGAGCCCCGAGCTACTTTCTGGTCCTCCGGTTTCTTGGTAAATTGGGGTGGTCCCTGCATCTTACGCTCCAGAGACTCCAGTGCATCTTCTGCCTCAGGGCTCAGCGGAAGGTCTAGGAGACAAAAGTAAATAAATATGTCACACAAGTAAAGTAAAGTGACTAAAGTCAAGATGAGGAAAGTACCTAAAGCGTCTCACCCTTACCAGTGCTTGGAAGAGATGCAGAGCTTTCATTTTTAGACAGCAAAGCCATTCTCTTTAGGGCTAGCATAGCCTTGCCAGCTTTCTGTAAGACACATTTTAATGAGACAACAAAGCAACTGATCTCCACAGGACAGATTGCTCAAATATTGCGTGTTACCTTCCACTTCTGCCTGGCTAAAAACCTCTTCATCTTCTCCTTCGACAGACATTTTGTGGAAGATAGGTTTTCAGAGTCAAACTTCTTCATCCAGGGGTGAGCAAGACCCTCTTCACAAGACATCCTCCGCCTACAGACACAGAGAGAACTGCGTAAGACTGACTGAAAAACGGTGTCTGTGGGAGAGTTTTGGCCATATATCTGTGAAATGACCTGGGATCCTTATTTAGGAGAGAGCTGATGAAATGCTGGGCCTCCTCAGTTATATCTTGAAAGCTCTCTTCATCAAACTCCCACTGAGCTGCTGTGACCAAGGCCAGAGTCTCCGCATCGCTGTTTCCCTGGAAAGGAGACTCACCGCTTAGCCTAAGACAGAAAGATTGAGAAGAGTCTTTGTGAGTTTTTACCACTAGGTGGCATTATAGTCTGAGGTTTACTTTCGGATTAAAATGTGTCCTTCTGTATGATTCAGCATTGTATACTGTAGAAAGCCTTAAAAATACATCTTTTATGTGCACAACTTGGAAAAATATTAACACCTTTTTAAAGTTTTCACTTTTTTTGATGCTACAAACACTAACTTTAATGTATTTTATTGAGATTTTATGCCAATAAGGTGCAATACATAATTGTGAGATGAGATGGAAATCTCATTAAAATCATTCAGAAATAAAAAGAAGTCCAGTAAAATGTGTGGTGCCTATAATTTTAGCTCAGTGCTTTCCAGAACTATGTTTTGTTGACATTTGCAAGCCTTTAATATTGTTTTTTCCAACCTTGCATTTTCATAAATTGATAATATTGACCATTTTCTTTGCAAAAGAGTTCCCGTTAACTTCAATTTTGAAGTTTTGCCATTTTCATTTGGACTTCTTTTTATTTCTGAATGATTTTAATGAGATTTCCATCTCATCTCACAATTATGTATTGCACCTTATTGGCATAAAATCTCAATAAAATACATTAAAGTTAGTGTTT